GAGAGAGAGAGAGAGAGAGAGAGAGAGAGAGAGTATAGATTAACCTATGGTCAAATATATAGAAAAGAGCGTTTCTCGGAGTGTGGATGAGATTTATGAGCGTCTCTTCCGAATCGGTAGCGCAAAGCCATTCCCGGAAACTACGGAAGCCGTCAAAGAGTATTGCTCTGAAATCGATACTGAATCGTGAGTTTTGTCATTTAATTCATTATTTATTCATTAAATTCTTAAATGCTATAAATTAATTTTAATATTATAATATATTACTTACATTATTTATTTATAACTGAATCACCATGGTAGTGCCAGTGACATAGCTACGTTCAATACGTTTTACTCGACACTAAACGCTAAGGCCAAAGAGGTGGTGGTCGCTAACAATCTAAAGATTCAATCTCTGGGCAAAGTATTTTGCCTGGTGAACGATCCAGTTAAACTTGCCCAATCACTTAATGCCAAATTAAACAAAGTAAAATTGTTGAGAGAAAATGCTCTGGGTACGTTGGCTCATCTGGTTGATACAGGAGAGTCAAAAATGGACCAAGTGCTCTGGTTAGTAGCAATTATTGTTGTTATATTACAAAATTACCTAATATTTTATTTCTAATTATATACCTAATATAAGCTATAATGTACATTCTAATTAAATTGTATATAATAGTATACAAAATAATAATACTTGTCCATTTAAAATGTATAGCACGGTGAAAGTTTATACGGATGAGATGATTAATGCTTACGCTGAGAGCGATAACAGCACTCGAGAGTATGTCTTTAAGATGATGTCACGGCTCAGACACGCGTTGGAAACGGCGGCCAAAATATCGGTTAAAGCGGCCGATAAGTGCGATATTAGTGATGGCAATAAACACGTGGTCAAACACCAATCGTTTATTTTACCCATGCTTATTGCTTTTAATAAATTTATAGGTAATTAACCGAGTGTTTAGAGAGAGAGAGAGAGAGAGAGAGAGAGAGAGAGTAAAAGAATGTATAATAAATGAAACAATTATAATACAGACACGGATTCGACGGACGAAATGATGGACGAGTATTACTACAAACAATTTATGTTAGGAAACGGAAAGCCATTGCCGGACACCGACGACTCCATTAAAGAATACTGTTATAGCATAGACTCGTATGTATTGACACAGTGTTTGCAATGAGTTATTTGAAATAACCATGTGTTTTCTATGCACCAAAACGTGTCAGTTCGTCAATACTATCGACGAGAACCACATTTTCTTCATTACTGAACGCCAAAACACAATCCGTGTATTTAAAGCTAAATCGAAAGGAAATTATGGACAACACATTGAGCCTGTTTTGCAAATACCCCGATCAGGTGACACTCGCCCGACTCATTAACAGCCGATTGAGCGAGGCCAAACGACTTCAGGACAACGCCGTCGGTCATTTGGTAGACTTGACCAATAACGGCGAAACTAAATTGTCCCTAGTGCTCTGGTATAATTACAAAACATAAATTTACTATATAACTAATTTATATTTAATAATGATAAAACACACTATTAACTTTTTTGTTAGCATAATTAACACTTACGCCAATCAAATGGTGAATTTGTTTGAAAATAAAGACGCGCGAGAGTTTGTCCGCAAACAGATGAATATCTATCGGGAAGTGTTGAACGAGATCGAGAAATTGACCAACAGGTTGGCTGACAAACAGTGTACCGGTAGTGAGTTGGCCGACGGTCACAAATTATTGGCCGGACAACACCAATATCTATCATTTATGGTCCCAATGTATAAAGCGCTCAATAAATATATGAATGAAAGTAAGTGGAGAGAGCGAGAGAGA